CACCCCAATCAGCTAATGGCAGTGTGCTCTTGCAGATCACCGCAACCTGATAAGCACCAGTGCACTTTAGGGACTTGGCTGACAGTCCACATAGACCTAATCCACTGCAGTGGAGAGGATTGAGTGTGTGTGTGACTGGGCTGCTGGCCTGCTGTCAGTGCCTGCTTGAGGGAGCACTGATCAATAACTGCAGACACTGAAGTGGATTAGTGCAGTGGCTGACTGCAACCCAAAGTGGTGAGCGCTCACCTTGCGAGCGAGAGGACCTGGGTTCGCCCCCAGCCGGGCGGTACAGGGCGAAACCTTAGGCAAGTTTCCTTACTCCACACACACACACACACACACACGGCTCTGCCTACCTAGCAGTAACTAGGAAACCGCCTGTCGGTCAATTTGCGGATCACTTTTCCGGGGATAATAATCCCTTCAATAAAAAAAATCATAATAGTTTGGTCACTCAATCCATGAGTGTTTGTGGGGACGCTGCTGTGCACAATTGGCTGCCGCGTTTCGCCCACAAAATACACTAAGTCAATTCACGTGATAAGGTGCGAAATCAAATGCAAGGATTTTTTCAAATTATAATTGCAAGCAGTTGTGTCCCACAAACAATCCTGGATTACAGTCTAAGACATTACTCTGCTTGAAGGGCACTGTTATAAATACAAGGTGGTGTTGTTCGGGATGGGACAGTGTAGATGAGGCTTTTTTCTGTCTCTAACCCTGACCTGGGAGTGTGGACACACAGTGTAGAGCGTTACTGTATCTCTAACCCTGACCTGGGAGTGTGGACCACAGTGTAGAGGAGCTTTACTGTGTCTCTAACCCTGACCTGGGAGTGTGGACACACAGTGTAGAGGAGCTTTACTGTGTCTCTAACCCTGACCTGGGAGTGTGGACACACAGTGTAGAGGAGCTTTACTGTGTCTCTAACCCTGACCTGAGATGGTGGACTCACGTGACTGACTCTGTTTCTATTCCATGACTCTGTCTCTCTGTGTCTCTGTCTCTCTCTCTCGTTCCCTCTATCTTCAGCGCTGTCTGCTGTCTCCACAGAGATTCGGGCCCAGTTGGCTGAACAGTTCAAGTGCCTGGATTTCCAGGTGGATATACGCAATCAGTACCTGCAGGATGTGGGTGACTTTTTCCGTAGGAAGGCCGAGATCGAGCTTGAGTACTCCCGGGGGCTGGAGAGACTGGCAGAGAGATTCTCCTCCAAGATCCGCCACTCAAAAGAGCATCAGAACATCAGGTCAGAATCAGCCCCTCACCTCATCTCCCTCACAAAAACACTCTCACAGCACTGTTTTAGACTGATAGAAACAGGAGGAGACCATTCAGCCCCTCAAGCTTGTTCCGCCATTGTATAAAATAATGGCTGATCTGTACCTCAAGTCCAATTGGTGTGGAGTCCTGTAGCTCAGGGGGTTAGAGCACTCGCTTTGCAAGCGAGAGACCTGGGTTCGATTCCCGGCAGGGCGAAATGTTGGGCAAATTTCCTTCCTCCACACCCCTCTGTTTACCAGCCGTAAGTAGGAACCGGTTGTCAGTCGATTGGTGGATCACTTTTCCGGGGGTAATAATTCCTTCAAGAAAATATTAATAAAAAAATTGGTCACTCAATCCACAGCTGTGTGTGGGACACTGATGTGCCTAATTGGCTGCCGCGTTTCGCCCACAAAGTATACAGTCACTGCACTTTACAGTGTATTCTGTGAAGCGCTTTGAGATGTCTCGAAGGCGCTGTGTCAAATGCAAGGTTTACTATTATTATTATCACATCTTTGAGACGGCTCAAATCCGGCTGTAATAATCCCTCCCAAAGTAAAAATAAAATTTTGGTCACTCAATCCACGACTGTTTGTGGGACGCTGCTGTGTGCAATTTGCATTCGATCATCGTAGAATCGTACAGCACAAAAAGAGGCCATTCGGCCCATCGCGTCTGTGATGGCTCTTGAGAAGAGCAGTGTAATGTCAGTCCCACTCCCCCGGCCCTTTCCCCATAACCTGCAAACCCGTCCTCCTCAAATACCCGTCCACCGCGCTTTTAGTTATCGGATCGGCCTCGACCGCCCTTTCAGGCAATGCTCCAGATTCCAACAACTCGCTGCGTGACAAAAAATTCCTTCTCACCTCCCCTCGGCTTCTTTTAGAGACTATTTTGAATCTGTGACCTCGAGTCACCGACACACCCACTAAATATACACTAGATATACATCATCGAGACATCTCAAAGCGCTTCACGGATTATTTGTGGAGTCCTGTAGCTCAGTGGTTAGAGCACTCGCTTTGCAGAGGAGAGACCTGAGTTCAATTCCAGGCAGAGGGCGAAACCTCGGGCAAGTTTCCTTACCCCACACAGAGCCTAATAATAACCTCCAAAACCAAAACAATAAAAATTTCATTTTCAATCCACGACTGTTTGTGGGGCACGCTGTGCGCAATTGGCTGCCGCGTTTGCCCACAAATATACAGTCAATTCACTTTACAGTGTGTTCTGTGAAGCGCTTTGGGACGTCCTCCCAACGTGAAAAGCGCTATATCAAATTCCAGGATTATTATTATTATTATACAGTAAAGTGTAGTGACTGTATTCTGTGGGAGGAACACGGCAGTCAATTGTGCACAGCGCAATTATTTTTTTTGGAGGGATTATTGCCCCCGGAAAGTGATCCGCCAATCGACTAACAAGTAGCGGATTCCTACTTACTGCTGAGAGGTGGAAGGGCTTTGATGGGGCTGTGTGTGTGTGTGTTGTCAGGAAGGACCAGAATCTCCTGTCTCCTGTGAACTGCTGGTACCTGATCCTGAGCCAGACCCGGAAAGAGAGCAAGGATCACGTCGCTCTGAGTGAGGTCTACACCAACAATATCACCCTACGCCTCGCCCACATCTCAGAGGACGTCAGCCGGCTGTCCAAAAGGGTAACCGAGCGGCACAGTGTGTGTCTGTCTGTGTCTCTCGGCCTCTTTCATTGTTTGTGTGTGTGTGTGTGTGTGTCTCTCTGCCTCTTTCATAGTGTGGGTGTGTGTCTGTCTGTTTGTCTGTCTGTATCTCTCTGCCTCTTTCACTGTGTGTCTCTCTTTGCCTCTTTCATAGTGTGAGTGTGTGTCTGTCTGTCTCTGCCTTTCACTCTGTGTGTGTGTGTGTGTGTCTCGCTCTGCCTTTTTCATAGTGTGGGTGTGTGTGTGTGTCTGTCTGTCTGTCTGTATCTCTCTGCGTCTTTCACTGTATATGTGTGTGTGTCTCTCTCTCTACCTCCTTCACTGTGTGTGTGTCTGCCTCTCACTGTGTGTATGTGTGGTGGTGTGTGTATCTGTCTGTCTCCTCTCTCCCCATCTCTCTCCCCTCACCCTCTCTCTTTCTCTCTCTCTCCCGCCCTCTCTCCTCTATCTCTGCCATCTTTTACCCTGTATGTGTGATGTTTCCTCTGAGGTGTGACTTGTAGTCAGACTCCCCTGATCACAGCTTCTCTCTGTGGGTTCACAGAGTAAAGAAATTGGCATTCAGATGCAGGAAGAGCTCTTCAAAGTCACCAGCGAGCTCCAGACGGTGAGTCTGTGTGCACATGTTCCACTCTCCTTGGTCTATATATCACAGCCTCAGGCCAGTGTCATACAATCATAGATTCCTACAGCACAAAAGGAGGCCATTCGGCCCATCATGCCTGTGCCAGCTCTTGCCTGGAATTGAACCCAGATCTCTCGCTTGCAAGGCGAGTGCTCTAACCACGGAGCTACAGGACTCCACAAAGGACTCCACAAAGTTCCATCTATTGAACACATCCAGTTAATGCGATCTGATCTCTGACCCCATATCCCCACACCAGGCAATGAAGACCTATCACCAGTACCACACAACAGCATCATCGCGGAGACGAAGCTGAAAGAGGCGGAGAAGCAATTGGGGATCACAGTCGAGCTCGCTGTCGCTCAGCCCAGCCCGGACTCCAAACCTCAGCGTCGCAGCTCCATCCGCAAGGCAGAGAAAATCAAGGAGAAGGTATGTAGCTCCCTCTACACTGTGCGTCCACACTTCCCAAGCGATGTGATAAGGCCTATATCAAATGCAAAGATTATTATTACCATCATTATCATCAATAAAATGCTGTGAGGCGTTTTGAGACCTCTCAGCGACCCAATGACGAGAGAGCTATCGCTAACCAAACAGCATTAAAAGTCTGTTTGTGGGACATTGCTGTGTGCAATTGACTGCCGTGTTTCGCCCACTCAATAGACGCAAAACCCTCCCATTACTCTCAGACTCTGAGGGCCAATGTCAAGCCTGTGAGTGAGACATTCTTTGGACCGCAGGCCGGATACCCTCTTTCTCTGAGACTTGTCATTTAGTGTTAAGCAGGCTGTTGTCTTCACACACACACACAGGACTGTGCCAAGCTTGTGATCGAGGCAGACAACACAGGATGTGTGCATGTGCGTGTGGGGGGAGGAGAGGGAGAGAGAGCGAGCGAGAGACAAACCAGCAAAAGTAAACCCAGGTCAATACAAAAGGACATCACCCAAAACAACAACACAAAATGGTGTCACGTAGCACAGTGGTTAGAGCACTCTCCTCGCAAGCGAAAGGACCTGGGTTCAATACCAGGCTGGGCAGGATAGGGCGAAACCTTAGGCAAGTTTCTTTACCACACACACGCGCGCGCGCCTCTGGTCACCCAGCAGTAAGTAGGAACCCGGTTGTTAGTCAGTCGATTGGCGGATTGCTTTCCGGGTGTGATAGTCCCTCCCGCCCCCCCCCCCCCAAAAAATTGCTCACTCGATCCACGACTGTTTGTTAGACACTGCTGTGCGCAATTGGCTGCTGCGTTTCGCCCACAAATACACAGTCACTACACTTTATAATATATTATCCGTGAAGCGCTTTGAGACGTCTCGAGTGCAAGGATTATTATATCTGCGGATACAGTATATAGTTTGGGACACCGCACGTGCAAGCGACTGCCAGGACGATGGAAGGCGAACTGGGTGGACCTTGGTCTTCCATCTATCGTCTAGCAATTCTTATAATAATAATCCTTGCATTCGATACAGTGCCTTATCACGTCGTCGAGACGTCTCGAAGCGCTTCACAGGAAGTCACTGTGACTTGTAAAGTGGCTTGACTTATGCCAGTGGGCGAGAGAACCGCATGACCTTGTTAACCAGAGTTTCCGTTTTGTTCTTGTGCAACTTCCACCTCCCCCAATGTGCTGCTCTCTGCATCGCAAAGCATTGCAACGTGTGTGGGCACTGGGGGAAGCTGGCGAGCGTTCTAGACGAGCGTTGGTTTTAGCTCTGGAGGAAATGTAGCAGGGCAAAGCTGGTGTGCCCTCAACCACAGAGGTTATGACGCGCAGAATAAGGGGGTGGATTCACACAATCATTGAATATTGTGGCACAGAGGGAGGCCTTTCGGCCCATCGTGCCCGTGCCAGCTCTTTGAAAGAGCTACCAACTCGTCCGACTCCCCCGCCCTTACCCCAACCCGTCCTACTCCCAACCCCTGCTCTTTCCTCATAGCCTTGCGCATTTTTCCTTTTATAATAACAGTCATAATCCTTGCATTTGATATAGTACCTTATTACGACATTGAAACGTCTCAAAGCACTTCACAGGATACACTGTAAAGAGCAGCGACTGTGTATTTTGTGGGCGACATGTGGCAGACAATTGCAGACAGCGACAATCCAAAAATAGTCGTGGATCGAGTGACTAAATTGTTATTATTGTTTGGAGGGATTATTACCCCCGGAAAGCAATCGGCCAGTTGACTAACAAGTGGGTTACTTATTGCTGGTAAACAGCGGTGTATGGAGAAAGGAGACCTGTCCAAGATTTTGACAGGACAGGGCGAAACCTTAGGCAAGTTTCCTTACTCCACACACACACACACCTCTGTTTACCGAGCAGTAAGTAGGAAGCCACCTGTTAGTTGATTGGTGGATCGCTTTTCCGGGGGTAATAATCCTTCATATATAAAAAAAAATTTGGTCGAACAATCCATGACTGTTTGTGGGACACTGATGAGCGCTATTGGCTGGACAAGCAGCGGGAAAGCTCGCCAGACCGAGCTCTCAATGGCAAGCTGTGTGGTTTGAGCTGGTTAGACCTCAGCAGTTACCCCAACACACACTCTGGGTTCTCCCCCAACCTGCGCCTAATACTCTCCGGAATTAGGTAAGCGGAGGGGTGGGGGGGAGGAGGCGGGGGTTCCCTCCAGAGAGAGAGAGAGAGAGAGAGAGCGTCCCATTCCGACCACCCCAATCAGCTAATGGCAGTGTGCTCTTGCAGATCACCGCAACCTGATAAGCACCAGTGCACTTTAGGGACTTGGCTGACAGTCCACATAGACCTAATCCACTGCAGTGGAGAGGATTGAGTGTGTGTGTGACTGGGCTGCTGGCCTGCTGTCAGTGCCTGCTTGAGGGAGCACTGATCAATAACTGCAGACACTGAAGTGGATTAGTGCAGTGGCTGACTGCAACCCAAAGTGGTGAGCGCTCACCTTGCGAGCGAGAGGACCTGGGTTCGCCCCCAGCCGGGCGGTACAGGGCGAAACCTTAGGCAAGTTTCCTTACTCCACACACACACACACACACACACACGGCTCTGCCTACCTACCAGTAACTAGGAAACCGCCTGTCGGTCAATTTGCGGATCACTTTTCCGGGGATATAATCCCTTCAATAAAAAAAATCATAATAGTTTGGTCACTCAATCCATGAGTGTTTGTGGGGACGCTGCTGTGCACAATTGGCTGCCGCGTTTCGCCCACAAAATACACTAAGTCAATTCACGTGATAAGGTGCGAAATCAAATGCAAGGATTTTTTCAAATTATAATTGCAAGCAGTTGTGTCCCACAAACAATCCTGGATTACAGTCTAAGACATTACTCTGCTTGAAGGGCACTGTTATAAATACAAGGTGGTGTTGTTCGGGATGGGACAGTGTAGATGAGGCTTTTTTCTGTCTCTCACCCTGACCTGGGAGTGTGGACACACAGTGTAGAGGAGCTTTACTGTGTCTCTAACCCTGACCTGAGATGGTGGACTCACAGTGACTGACTCTGTTTCTATTCCATGACTCTGTCTCTCTGTGTCTCTGTCTCTCTCTCTCGTTCCCTCTATCTTCAGCGCTGTCTGCTGTCTCCACAGAGATTCGGGCCCAGTTGGCTGAACAGTTCAAGTGCCTGGATTTCCAGGTGGATATACGCAATCAGTACCTGCAGGATGTGGGTGACTTTTTCCGTAGGAAGGCCGAGATCGAGCTTGAGTACTCCCGGGGGCTGGAGAGACTGGCAGAGAGATTCTCCTCCAAGATCCGCCACTCAAAAGAGCATCAGAACATCAGGTCAGAATCAGCCCCTCACCTCATCTCCCCTCACAAAAACACTCTCACAGCACTGTTTTAGACTGATAGAAACAGGAGGAGACCATTCAGCCCCTCAAGCTTGTTCCGCCATTGTATAAAATAATGGCTGATCTGTACCTCAAGTCCAATTGGTGTGGAGTCCTGTAGCTCAGGGGGTTAGAGCACTCGCTTTGCAAGCGAGAGACCTGGGTTCGATTCCCGGCAGGGCGAAATGTTGGGCAAATTTCCTTCCTCCACACCCCTCTGTTTACCAGCCGTAAGTAGGAAACCGGTTGTCAGTCGATTGGTGGATCACTTTTCCGGGGGTAATAATTCCTTCAAGAAAATATTAATAAAAAAATTGGTCACTCAATCCACAGCTGTGTGTGGGACACTGATGTGCCTAATTGGCTGCCGCGTTTCGCCCACAAAGTATACAGTCACTGCACTTTACAGTGTATTCTGTGAAGCGCTTTGAGATGTCTCGAAGGCGCTGTGTCAAATGCAAGGTTTACTATTATTATTATCACATCTTTGAGACGGCTCAAATCCGGCTGTAATAATCCCTCCCAAAGTAAAAATAAAATTTTGGTCACTCAATCCACGACTGTTTGTGGGACGCTGCTGTGTGCAATTTGCATTCGATCATCGTAGAATCGTACAGCACAAAAAGAGGCCATTCGGCCCATCGCGTCTGTGATGGCTCTTTGAGAAGAGCAGTGTAATGTCAGTCCCACTCCCCCGGCCCTTTCCCCATAACCTGCAAACCCGTCCTCCTCAAATAACCGTCCACCGCGCTTTTAAAGGTAGTTATCGGATCGGCCTCGACCGCCCTTTCAGGCAATGCTCCAGATACCAACAACTCGCTGCGTGACAAAAAATTCCTTCTCACCTCCCCTCGGCTTCTTTTAGAGACTATTTTGAATCTGTGACCTCGAGTCACCGACACACCCACTAAATATACACTAGATATACATCATCGAGACATCTCAAAGCGCTTCACGGATTATTTGTGGAGTCCTGTAGCTCAGTGGTTAGAGCACTCGCTTTGCAAGTGAGAGACCTGAGTTCAATTCCAGGCAGAGGGCGAAACCTATCCTTACCCCACACACGGCCCTAATAATAACCCTCCAAAACCCAAAACAATAATAAATTCATCATTTTCAATCCACGACTGTTTGTGGGACAGACACCGCTGTGCGCAATTGGCTGCCGCGTTTGCCCACAAATATACAGTCAATTCACTTTACAGTGTGTTCTGTGAAGCGCTTTGGGACGTCCTCCCGACGTGAGAAGCGCTATATCAAATGCCAGGATTATTATTATTATACAGTAAAGTGTAGTGACTGTATTCTGTGGGAGGAACACGGCAGTCAATTGTGCACAGCGCAATTATTTTTTTTGGAGGGATTATTGCCCCCGGAAAGTGATCCGCCAATCGACTAACAAGTAGCGGATTCCTACTTACTGCTGAGAGGTGGAAGGGCTTTGATGGGGCTGTGTGTGTGTGTGTTGTCAGGAAGGACCAGAATCTCCTGTCTCCTGTGAACTGCTGGTACCTGATCCTGAGCCAGACCCGGAAAGAGAGCAAGGATCACGTCGCTCTGAGTGAGGTCTACACCAACAATATCACCCTACGCCTCGCCCACATCTCAGAGGACGTCAGCCGGCTGTCCAAAAGGGTAACCGAGCGGCACAGTGTGTGTCTGTCTGTGTCTCTCGGCCTCTTTCATTGTTTGTGTGTGTGTGTGTGTGTGTCTCTCTGCCTCTTTCATAGTGTGGGTGTGTGTCTGTCTGTTTGTCTGTCTGTATCTCTCTGCCTCTTTCACTGTGTGTCTCTCTTTGCCTCTTTCATAGTGTGAGTGTGTGTCTGTCTGTCTCTGCCTTTCACTCTGTGTGTGTGTGTGTGTGTCTCGCTCTGCCTTTTTCATAGTGTGGGTGTGTGTGTGTGTCTGTCTGTCTGTCTGTATCTCTCTGCGTCTTTCACTGTATATGTGTGTGTGTCTCTCTCTCTACCTCCTTCACTGTGTGTGTGTCTGCCTCTCACTGTGTGTATGTGTGGTGGTGTGTGTATCTGTCTGTCTCCTCTCTCCCCATCTCTCTCCCCTCACCCTCTCTCTTTCTCTCTCTCTCCCGCCCTCTCTCCTCTATCTCTGCCATCTTTTACCCTGTATGTGTGATGTTTCCTCTGAGGTGTGACTTGTAGTCAGACTCCCCTGATCACAGCTTCTCTCTGTGGGTTCACAGAGTAAAGAAATTGGCATTCAGATGCAGGAAGAGCTCTTCAAAGTCACCAGCGAGCTCCAGACGGTGAGTCTGTGTGCACATGTTCCACTCTCCTTGGTCTATATATCACAGCCTCAGGCCAGTGTCATACAATCATAGATTCCTACAGCACAAAAGGAGGCCATTCGGCCCATCATGCCTGTGCCAGCTCTTGCCTGGAATTGAACCCAGATCTCTCGCTTGCAAGGCGAGTGCTCTAACCACGGAGCTACAGGACTCCACAAAGGACTCCACAAAGTTCCATCTATTGAACACATCCAGTTAATGCGATCTGATCTCTGACCCCATATCCCCACACCAGGCAATGAAGACCTATCACCAGTACCACACAAACAGCATCATCGCGGAGACGAAGCTGAAAGAGGCGGAGAAGCAATTGGGGATCACAGTCGAGCTCGCTGTCGCTCAGCCCAGCCCGGACTCCAAACCTCAGCGTCGCAGCTCCATCCGCAAGGCAGAGAAAATCAAGGAGAAGGTATGTAGCTCCCTCTACACTGTGCGTCCACACTCCCAGGTCAGGGTTAGAGACACAGTAAAGCTCCTCTACACTGTGCGTCCACACTCCCAGGTCAGGGTTAGAGACACAGTAACGCTCCCTCTACACTGTGCGTCCACACTCCCAGGTCAGGGTTAGAGACACAGTAACGCTCCCTCTACACTGTGTGTCCACACTCCCAGGTCAGGGTTAGAGACACAGTAAGCTCCTCTACACTGTGCGTCCACACTCCCAGGTCAGGGTTAGAGACACAGTAACGCTCCTCTACACTGTGTGTCCACACTCCCAGGTCAGGGTTACAGACACAGTAACGCTCCCTCTACACTGTGCGTCCACACTCCCAGGTCAGGGTTAGAGACACAGTAAAGCTGTAGATTGTGTGGGTGGTTGTGAAGTGCTTTGCTGCATTGGCAACTGTTAAGTTCAGGAGGTAGTCATTCCGTGCCCTTGTGCACTTTAGCTTATTCTCCATATATTTCTGGTGCTGGAAATAATATAATAACAATAATAATTATCATGTCTTCGAGACGTCT